CTAGCCTCCATTTTCCAAAACCTTCGTTATTTACTTTCTTCACTGTTTAATACATGCTATTTAATACTTGCATTGTCTTTATTGTTAGCTTTTAATTATTTAATGTTATACTCTTTCTTGCCATTCCCTAAAAGTCACTAAAAGAGTGACAATCTTCAATAAACATTATGAAGACTCTTGGTCTTCAACTTATATTTGTATTGTTGTGCTGAAAGAACTATAGAGATATAATATAGTAGGTTATATGCTGTCCTGTTAACTAAAAGAATGTCAAAGTATTGGATCTACCAGCTGTTCTGTAGAAAAGTTATAGGGCAGTCTGTTTTTATTTAAGATGTAAAGTCCTAGAAACATAATAGAGTGTGGCCGTAAGTCAGAAATGACTCAAAAGCAAAGAATTTCACTTCTAGTACTGAAGATTCTGTTCATGCATGGTATTATTATAGCATTCTTTGTTATTGTTAGCTGTCATTGAGTTGACTCCAACTCAATTTGTGTTATATACAACAGCAGGAAAATTGGCCTGTTTTTTTTTACTATGTTCTGAATTTCTGCTGTATGTAAGCCTACTGTTGTTGCTATGTGCCACCGGGTCTAGTATGACTCCTAGCAACCCTATGAACAAAAGATCTGAACCCTGTTATATCTTGTGCGATCTTCATACTTCCTGACACACTAGAGCCCATTGCAGTAGTCACTGTGTCAATCCACTTGGTTGAGAGTCTTCCTCTCCTTCACTGACCCTCTGTCCTTCCAAGCATCATGTGATTCAAAGGACAGCCCCTCTTAGTAACATGCCAAAATATGTGAGGTGAAGCCTCATTATCTTTGCCTCCAAAGAACACTCTGGCTGCATCTTTCCAAGATATATTTATTTGGCTTTTTTTGGCAGTCCGTGGGATATTCAGTGTTCTTCTTTAATAGTGCAGCTCAAAGCAATCAATTGTTCTTCTGTCATCCCTAATCATTGTCCAGCTCTCAGAAGCATAGCAAGTGATCAGAAAGATCATAGACTGAATCAGATGTACCTCAGTCCTCAAACTGACACCTATGACAAATGAATCCCTAACTGAAGATTTTTCCAATGATTTTTCCAATGCAATATGTCTTCTAATTTCCTGACTACTGGTACCAAGCATGTTAATTGTAGATCCAAGTCAGACGAAGTTGTTGACAGTTTCAATTTCTCCTCCATCCTCCATAGTTTTGTCTGCCAGTCCAGTAATAACAATCTTTGTTTTCTTGACCAGGCCTACTAGGCAGTGTAAAATGAGAATAGGCAGCATGAGTGGACAGCCAATCCTGACTTTTACTAACTCCACAAAAAAGGGGACTTTCTGCATCAACATCCACAGTACAAAACTAATTCCTGTAAGTCAGACATGGTCTTCAATACTCCTGCACCTCCTCTTACTAATTCAAGCACCAATCTTATAGGTCTACTAGGCCCCAAAAGCCATTACAACGATCACACACGCTTCACTGAATCACACTCAAGATTATGGAGTTTATTAGGGCATTTAACAGGTTATAATTCAGGTTATCAGCAGAATCAAGCCCTCAGACCACCATCTCAAGTGTGGTCACAAGCCTCTTGACCTTCTGACTCATGACTTAGGTCAGTTTTATGAAGTTGTTTTTGCTGTTTTGTGCCCGCAAGTCTCTGACGACTCATAGTGATCCTGTGTACAACATCTCTGAATTTTGTCCTATCCTGAGTCAACCATGTCTTCTCTGAGTCCTTCAGCAAGCTTGGGTGAAGGTGTCTGGCTTTGGCTTTCTGAATTAGTCATCCCAAGTCAGCTTTGTCTCATGTTAGTCTCTAGTTCTCTGCTAAGGCTGCTGTTTCCTTTGTGTAGATTCCACTCTGATTGATGCAAAAATCTCTAGCTCCAAAGAATGTGTCTTACTTCTTGTTTTTGCTGATATTGAGATTCCCCAATTCTACTGCTGAATCTTTTTAATTTAAAGCTATTAAAATAGTGAGACTGGTCAATCCCTTTACAGATACACGCTCAACTTACATGTTTCCATGTAGCTATGTGGCAAAGTAAAAACGAATGGCTAGGAAAGTAATTTAATTTTGAACAATAAACCCTTGACATCACACACACACACACACACACACACACACACACACACAGTCAATCCGTTTCATTGAAAGTCTTCCTCTCCTTTGCAGACCTTCTGTTTTCTCTGGCATGATCTGTTCCTCTGAATACTGGCCCATCCTGACAACATGTCCAAAATATGTGAGCTGAAGTCTCTCTCAATGACAGTCCTGTGAGCAAGATGAAAGTTGAGTCCAGAGGGGTGATTTCTATTCCATATTTGAAGGGTGAGTAAGGAGGACAGTATTTCTTGGGTGTTCCTCTAGTCTCTATCAGATCAGTAAGCCTCATCTGTTTTTTTAATTATTTTATACTATTTTCTTCCACTTTATTACATATTCTCTTTATGGTTTTGGATTTGTTTTCTTAAATACTTTTCATCAAGCTAAAAACTTACCCAAACTGATGTATAGCTAAATCTTGAACCAGTTTTTGATTGGATGTGGAATGTCTGCTCACAAATGGGTGTGAGGTGATTGGATTTGGCCTGTACTTAAAAAGGCATTTGGGACCTGAACCTGCACACTTGGGAATGGTTTCAATTGTTTTCAGTCAAGCATTCTTCTAAGTAGTATAGCATTGGCCTGTTAATTTGCTGTACATAGGTAATTCGTGGTTGCTGTGAGGGTAAATGCTGTGATACTTATGTGTCAAATATGATATTGGTTACCCATGTTGAACAGTGTTTGGTGAGCTTCCAAATTAAAACAGTCTTGGAGGCAAGAGTGGCATCCACTTCTGAAATAGCTTGCCTCTAGAAACTCTATGAACTTAGAGAAATGAAGAAAATTATATGTGTACAGTACTTTGGTTCATAAGGTCGCTATGAGTCATCTACGACACTTAACAACAAAGCAACAGTCACAGGAGAGGGTGTTGCTTACAGTGCAACTTTCTATGCACTAAGCCATTAGAGTATCCATTTATAGTATCCAAAATGGGAGAAAATCCAACATAATAAAACTCATTGTGTTTCTTACACATAGTGGTAAAGTCTGTAGTTAGCTGTTCTGCTAATCCAAAAGATATATCTTTCTGGTAATTTTAATCTAGCAGCAGCTCCCTAGTAGAAAGATAAACTGTATCCTCTTGTGAGATTTACAGCCTTGGAATTCAGTAGAAGATTAGGTATGAGGTAGTTCCAACTTCATGTTAAAGTGTAATTTTCTTTAATTTTGCTTAATAAGTCATAATACTTCCTTACAAGAAACTTTAGTGGTATACTCAGTTATATGTTGTACATCCACCCGCTGTTCCACAGTGGAAACATAGGCAATCTTCTGCAAAGATTTATAGCCTCAGAAACCTAATGGAGTGTTAATAAAAGGCAACATTGACTCAATAGCAATGAGTTTATTATATTCTATATATTCTATAATATTCTATTCTTTACTCATGGCATGCATAGATGGTTATTTACATAACATCTCTATTTGTTATAGTTTAAGTCCAAAAATAAGATTATTTTTAAGATAAATATAGGCCTCTTGGGGCACAATGAATCTCTGACGGCTTAGTAGAAAGGAACTAGTCTGTCAACCCACAGGTACATGGTTTGAATTCACCAGTTGCTACATGGAGGAAAGATAGGCAATCTTCTCTTGTGAATTTTATTGCCTCTGAAACCCACTGGAGTGTCAGCTATGAGTTAGTTCTTGAAAGCCCACCTGGAAGCTGGGTAACATTCCACACTGACACACCTCTTGGGAAATATTCCAATCAACCTGTGTAAGATGGCTACAGCCAATCAGAAGAGAACACAACCACCAGCCCCATCCTACCTAAACGTCACCTATGACACAACACACCTAAGGGTCCTAAGTAGCTCCTTACATGGGAACAGGCAGAGGGTATCCAATTAGTGTCCTCTATAAAGAAAGCTGACCACTGAATAGATCAATTTACCTCTCATCTACCCACCCCCCCATACACACACACACACACACACACACACACACACACAGAGGAAAGTTTTGTTGTAGCTTTCCCACATTGGGACTTCCCATCCCCCACTGCCTCTCTCTGGCCTGGGGCTGTGAAACTTTGTCTGAGAGCTGTTAATAAATTCTTTTGTTTTGCTTTATCTGGTTTTCCCCAGCCTTTTTTACCACAGAGTTCTGACTTGATGGTGCACAAAAACATCAACAACAAGTGGCACAATGGTTAAAACTTTCAACTGTGAACCCAAAAGGGAGTCATTCAAATCAGCCAGTTGCTTCCTGGGAGAAAAGTGAAGTAGCCTGCTTCCATAAAGATTTATAATTTGAGAATCTCCTTATGGGGTAGTTCTTTGTCCTACAGAGTTACTATGAGTTGGAATTGACTCAATGGCAGTGGGCTTTGTTTTCTTTGCTTTAAGAAACATATACCACTATCATAAAGTTGTTGTTGATGTTGTTGGTGATGATAATTGCCTTCCAGTCGAGCAGGACTCATAGAGACCCTATGAACAAAAGGCTTGAAGCCCCTCTACAACTATAGACATTTATCGAAGTTCATAGAGTTTCCGGAGAAGTGGATGCCACCAAATAGAGTATACTCTAGTACTATATTGAAAATCAATTGCTTTGAGCTCTAAGTACTGAGAGAACAAGTAAATGCATCTGTCTATAATTTTCAATCAGGTACTCTATTGTTCAGAGAAGTAGATGACAGCATAAGCACCCTGTACGTATTTTATTCAGGGAAGGAAAGGAAATATCAAGAATCTGAGCCTCAGGTTGACTGACACATTGATTTAATAGCACTAGGGATCTTCTATTTCTCAAATACAGGTGTGATGCTTCTATTTTGTAATGGAACAATGATTCAAATATACGATAAATATGTTCAGTGGCAAATAACAATAAATTAATCCAGATAAAGAAACAACCTTCCTGGTATTCTTACTTGGAGGCAGATCCCGCATTTTGGGGATGTAAAAGCACTCCCTGAAGTGTTTCAGCTTGTCTTCTTCATCAAGGTGTAGAGCAACTCTCTCATCTGTAGGGTGACATCTGAGTTGAGATGCAATGCGTTGTACTGTGTCTGCTGGTACTTCAAGAGTTGAGGGTTCCATTGCAATTTGTTGTCTAAAAAGAATAATAATAATAACAACAACAAAATCAGCAGCCATCATATTTTTTCCCCTACAGGCTAATAGCTGCACAAGTAAAGTACCTTTCACTTTAAGATTCCCATCTTCTTATCCTTAGAAAGAATGATTGCCAAACAAAACTAAAAAACATGCCTGAGTTTTTCTTATCTATAAAATAAAAGAAAATAAAATGGTAACTTAGAGAAGTTGAGAGAATAATATGTATGTGTAAAGCCATTATCATAGTATTTCACCAAGTTCACTGCTATTGAGTCAATTCTAACTCATGGTGACCCTTCATGGGTCTCTGAGGATGTAAACCTGTACAGGAGGAGATTGATTTATTTGGCTCCTGAGGTAGATGTTAAGACAGGCTAGGCTGCAAAGGGACAAGGAAAAGAGTGAATAAAAATGGTAAAACACCTGAGGCCAGAGCTACTTCAAACCGGAATATGTCATAATAAGTAATACTGAGTATCCTAGAAACCTCTGTATCAAAAAAACCCCATCCTATCTACAGATTACTCTTTCCCTCAAGACCATTCCCAATAGTTAGGCAAAGTGTGTAGACTACTAAAGGGGGATGGTAAATCTTGTCATCCTAAAATCCTAAGATACTCTGAAAATTACTCTAGAACGCAAAAAGGACAAACCAAAAGGGACAACTGCTGAGGAGATAGATGATGCTGAAGGAATAGATGAACAGAAAGGGCAGCATCTTCAAAGAGAAGACAAAGTGAAGTATTACAACAAAATATTCAAATAGATGGAGTTAGAAATTAAAAAGAGGAAAATTTGCTTGATACTTCTCGAGCTAAAACAGCTGAAAAACAAAATCAAGCTTTGAGTTGTAATAACAAAAGATGCTATGGAAAAAATCCTGAGTGACCCAAGAAAGTATCAAAAGATGATGGCAGGAATAGACAGAGTTATTAAACTGTAAAGAACTGACGAACATTTTCAGGAATCAGCATATGATAAAAGATGTGCATCACTATTCTTATTTCTGTACACTAATTCAAACTACGTTGTTGTTGTTGTTATGTGCCATCGAGTCGCCTACGACTCATAGCGACCCTATGTACAACAGCCCTAAACTCCGCTCTGTCCTGTGCCAATCGCACCGTCTCTGACACTCCCATCCCAATTATCCCAGTCA